CAAAAACTTGGAAGCAACCAACTTGTCCTTCATTTGGTGAATTAATAAGTAAACCATGGTGCATCCAGGTAATGTAACATTATTCAGCACTAAAAGGAAATGAGCTCTCAAGCCATGGAAAGACATGGAAGAAACTTAAACACCTGTTACTAAATGGAAGAAGACAATCTGAAATGGCTGCATACTGTATGATTCCAATATATGAAATTCTAGATCAGGTACAGTTACGCAGACAGTAAAAAGATCAGTGCTTTCCAGGGGTTCAGAAAGAGGGAGGAAGAAATAACTCAGTGGAGCACAGAGGATTTTTAGGGCCGTGTAACTATTCCATATGGTAGTGTAATAGTGATACATGTCACTATACATTTGTCAAAACCCAGAGTGAACCCTGATGGACTTTTGGTGTAGTGTATCAATGATATATCAATTTAGATTGATTATCCAATAACATACAAATGTACTCTCTTCTCTGGTACAAGCGTTGGTAGTGGGGGAGGTTGTGCATGTCTGGGAGCAAGGGGTAACTTCTGTATTTTCTGCTCAATCTTGCTATGAACATAAAATAAACATAAAATATACACAGCCTCTTAAGAAAATATTTTCAAATAAGAAATAGAAAAAAGGGACAATCCCCTACTCATTTTTGAGGCTAGTATTAGCCTTAAAAGACCTTGTAAGAAAATTACAAATCAGTATCTTATGAAAACAGACATACAATTTTCTAGTAATATTATAGCAAATTAGATTCAGAAATTTATAAAAGGAATACTACATCACAAACAAGTGGGGGGGGGCGGTTTCTCGTGATGTAAACCTAGTTAAAGAGACATCACTGATGTAACTCATTATATTAACTGACTAAAGGATGATGCAGCAATTTTTTTCAGTAAAGGACCAAACAGCAAATATTTAAAGCTTTGTGAGTGACATACACTTTTTACAGAATATTATTATTCTTTTTACAACGCGTTAAAAAATGTAAAAAATGTGTTTTAGCTTGCTGCCTCTACACAAACAGCCAGTGGGCAGGATTCGGTCTGTGGGTCACAGTATGCTGATCCCTGGACTAAGAAAAAATCAAAACCATATGATTATATCAGCTGACGCAGAAAAGAAACCTGAAACTTTCAAAATATATCCATCATTAAAAACTCTAACCAATTAGGAATACAAGGGGACTTCCTTAATCTGATGAAGGGCATCTACAGAAAAAATCTACAGCTAACATCATACATAGTAGTAAAAGATTTAATGTTTTATCCCAGAATCAAGAACAAAGCGAGGATATAAAACTTTTACCACTCCTATTCAACATCCTACACTGACTAGTCAGTACAATAAAGCAAGGGGGAAAAAAGCATAGAAATTGGAAAAGATGACACGATCATGAAAGTAGAAATCTCCAGAAGCTATAAAAAGTTGGAATTAGTAAGTGAATTTTAGCAAAGTTGCACAACAAAAGGTCAACGTACAAAAATTAAACTGTAATGTATAGAATATTAATGAAAAATAAGAAGTCAACTCTTTTTTTAAATACCATTTAAATAGCTTCTTTTTTTAAAAAAGGAAATACTTTGATACAAATCTAAGAAATACATTCAGGCGCTGTATACTTAAAACTAAAAAAAAGCTAACGAAAGAAAACAAAGGATGTCTGAAAGTCTAAATAAATGGAAAGATAGATCATGCTCATGGATTGAAAGACTCAATAGAGTTAAAGTATCAATTCTTTGAAACAAAAAAACTATAGATTTAACCCAATTTCAATAAAAACCCCAGTATTACCTATTGTGTATACTGACACATTAATTTTAAACTCTATACAGAAAATGATAATAACTAGAATAGCAAAAATATTTTTGAAAAGAAGAAAATCTTATTTTAAGACTTACTATAAAGTGACAGTTACAACACTCAAGATAATATGGTACTGATGAAAGGAAAGACATACAGATCAATGGAACCAGACAGTTCATGAATCCACACAAATATAGGCTTTTCTATTGAGGTAAAATTACGTAACATAAAATTTATCATTTTAACTATTTTTAAGAGTACAATTCTGTGCTATCTTTGGAACTAAGGTCTGTAGTAATTTCCTTACTTTCATTTCTGATTTTAGTAATTTGAGGCTTTTTTTTTTCTGATCACTCTAGCTAAGGTTTTGTCAATTTTGTTGCCCTTTTAAATGATTTTGGTCCATTTATTTTCTCTC